CACCTGTGAGGCCAGACAATGTGCAATGGTCTTTGCTGATCACCAACTCCACTCAAAATGTCACATGGATTTTGTTTACTGTCCCCAAGACGAGAGCTTGAATTATCTGATGAGTTGCGCGTTTTCAAGTACGACTCCTGCATCAGTGAGCTACCCAGGTGTTCTTGTGCCGCTTCACAAGGGGCAGACTGTGACTCAGCATCATCCGACACATTCTCAGAGCCTCCCTGCTGCCGCCGGAAGGGAAAGGCCACGGGTCGGGTGGCAGCGACGTTTCCTTTAAGGCTGAGCATCTTCTGCAAATGGGCTGCTTTATGCTCGGGCATGAATCTGTTCCAAAAAGGAAACATAATACTCCTTCAGTGAAGATGCTATTTAAAACGTACCCTTTACCTTTCTGTAAGGACACGACGATGATGTGTAGAACTGAGAAAAAATAAAGACATAAGAAAAATTCCAGACAAAGAGCAAAAGGTAGCAGCCTCAAGAGAAAGTACAAAAGTTTGAAGTTGGACTCAAATGTCTTTGACTAGTTTCCAAAGAATTTCTGAGGCTCTAACACCTGCACTGCACATACAGGCATCAGAGGGGAGCGGCGGGCTCTCTCCTCCTCCACTCATCTTTCTGGAGCTCTGCTTCGCGTCTTCCCGGCACTGCAGGCCCCTCTAAACATGCTTGAAACCTCCTTGATTAACATCGGGCATTTCTGCACACATGACTTCTCTGTATTCCTAGGCATCTGTCCACACTTTTCAGTAAATCGACCTTGCTAATATTTTGTGAAGTATATTTCTTATTGCTGCTTGCAGAAGTATCTACATAAAATAAAATCGAGGAGTTCATCATCTCCTGGGGAGCCAGCCAGGAGCGGTTACGAAAGGCAGAGCGGGAGACAGGTATGAACGACCGACCGACCTGTGGGGAACACGGTATATGAAGAACAGACACTCTCCATTTTAAAACCGAGAACGAGAGATCAATTCTGACTTAGGAATCAGTGAAGCCTTAGTTGAGGGTTTGGAAAGGCAGAGGGGGAGTTCTGGACCGTGGAAACCGTGTGATCAAAGGAAAGGGGTTGAAGGAGCATGAACTCTTCAGCGAATGACATGCAGCCCAGAGAGGCTGGGGCCAGGTCCTGGGATCTGACATCCAGAGGGGCAGACTGGGCCAGAAAGCCCACCTTCGGCGCCCCTGACCCCTCCAGACGCCCATCCTGGGAGGCCAGCAGTGAAGGACGGAGGGGGTGGGTGCAATGAGAGGTGGGTGCAATGAGAGGTGGGTGAGGGAGGGCATGGAGGAGCGCGGTAAGGAATCACTGGAGGAACAGAAAGTGACTCAGTGCTATCACACAGCCGAAGTGACGTGAGAGCCCCAGTGGACTGTGGAAAGGGTGTGACACACGCAGAGGTGCTACAGCACCGGAAGCAAGGGGAGTTTGGCCTCGCCCCCCGGTAGGTCACTGCCTCCCGAGGGCAGCCCCCACGGAGGCAGCAGGCGGAAGCCAGGCGGCAGGCTAGGGTGTGTGCACAAGGCGGGGGCGGAGAAAGGGAGAGAGGACAGGGGAGAAGGCAAGGTGAGTTCTTTTTAACAGGGCACGTGTGCACAGGGGAATCCACCTGGGGCTCACCTGCCGTACCTGCTGAGGCAGGGAGCAGGAGGACGATGACACAGCAGTCTTACAAGACGAAAGCAGAAAAACAACATAATGTGTGGAATAACCGCAGGATTTGGGGTGTGGGTCTCTAGGGCCTTATAAAAGAGAACTAAACCAAACTTTCTTACAAAGCTGCGGGAAGGAGAGAAAAAGGAAGATGGGGAAAAAACCAGTTTCAAGTGGGAGGGGTGGAATCAAGGTGTGCCACCAAAGCACTGGGTGAGGTCAACTATTTCAAGACGTGTGTGTGTGTGTGTGTGTGTGTGTGTGTGTGTGTGTGTAGAGGTGGAGTTTGAGAAGTGAGCGGAGGAGTGGCGGGCAGAGGGCGCTCACTAGATCTGAGAGCGGGGCTGATGCGCAGCACTCAGGAATGGGGGCGGGGCCCCCTGAGAGCTGGAACAGTCTGGCTGCAGTAGCTGTGCACATTCCAGAAGCAAAAAGCTTGGGGGGGTGGGGGGGTGGGGAGTGGCACTTCAGTGTTTGTTTCATAAATTAGCCTTTTAAGAAAAATCACCTGAATGTATAAGGAGCCCCTCCACCAAGAAATAAGTAGATGATTATATGCAGATAGAGATAATTCCAAGAATAGTGCTAACCCTCTTGGTATGCCCTAATAAAATAAATTAATTCTTGATTTACAATGGAAAGAAACAGGCATATCCAGACTACAGTTTGAGATCTCATAGGTCCAAAATATTTAAAGGAATAACCAACTTTCTTCCTGATACAAATCCAAAATACTGAGGGCAGCCCTGGCCGGTTTGGCTCAATGGTAGAGCTTCAACCGTGGACCAATGAGTCGCGGGTTTGATACCGGCCAAGGGCATGTGCCTCTGTTGCCTCTGCCCTAGCCTGGGTCATGCAGGAGGCAACCATTCGATGTGTCTCTCTCACGTCGATGTTTCTCTCTCTCCCCCTCTCTCTTCCTCTCTCTCCCTCACACTCTATCTTTATAAGATAAATACAAAAATATCCTCGGGTGAGGAATAAAAAAAAATACTGAGGACATTCTAAGGAACTAAAAATCAATTAAAAAGTTCCCATTGATAAATAGACGCAAAAAAAATGAGTATAACAATATCTTCAACTTCTCCTAAACAAATGGAACAAACAGTAAGAAGAGGACCATCTGTACATATCTGCAAAACAACAATAAAGCAAGTGAAGTAAACTATTTGTTTAAGTCAGATAAAGAATGCCAAGGAAGCTCATAAAGGATTTTAACAGAATTATAAGCTTAGTGCTCAAAGAATTCACAATTAAAGAAAATTGATGAGCATTAAAACAACATATCTTCATTTTAGGAAACAGTACCATGACCCATCATACTCATAAAACCCATTTACATTGTCCAGCGTGTGAGCAAAATGGCAAATGAAAAGAGACGGGTGGTTGGCTAAAGGGTTGTAAACAACGGGGAATTGAGCTGTGGGCAAGGTGCTAGGCCTGCTTTTATTCAACACGTTTCCTAACTGTTCTCAAGGATGAACAGAATCCCATGTTAACACAGGCTGTGATGACTGACTTGACAGGTGGTGGTGAATAAGGATATGGAAAGATGCAGAATATAAATATGAACAGTAACCACAAACTCAGCTTACTAATGTTATGAAATTGACAAAATAAAAATCAACCTGAATGCAAAGAGGGCACATGGAAAGCACTGTGCAGACGGTCTGGGGTTGACAAGACGCGCCAGTGCTGATTTGACCAATAAACAGACACGCTACTTTGTTACAGATGGCGTTGTACGGGGAAGGAAGACACGACGTCGGAGGGGACAGGATACTGGGCGGACGCGGACTTCATCTGGGTCACCTGATAACTGTATATGTTTCAAAATTAGAGAGTTCTTAGAAGAGCAATAATAATGATTAAGGCAATGGAAGAATTGATTTATGAGGACAGATTAAAGGAGCTAAATATGAATAGCTTGGCTAAGCGACAACTAGAAGAGTACATAATAGGAGTCTCCAAGGAAAGAGAATAATTATTTAGCCTGCTACAAGGGGGTAGAAGTAGGAGTAATGAGATGAAATTAAGAATAGGAAAATTTAAGCTGAATTTCAAGAAAAACTCTCTGACGGTATAATTTATTAGCTCATGGTTAAATTCCCTATGGAAACACTATAGCTAGGGAAAATAAGACTGGACAAATACCAATAAATAAGAAAGATAATAATCCAATATTGAAAGAAGGTGGTTACATGCTATGCTTTCCTGGTTTATAATATCTTCTCATATTTTAATAGTCTATTTATATATAATAATGTTACCTAAAGATGTATTTAGGCAATTAGCTAAACCTAAAAAGAAGTATGTCTCTTAGGCTAGGGAAGTTAAAATCACCTTAGTTTTCATATACTGCAATAGTAAGCTGAAATAATTGTTTAATACTTTGTTTCAGCAGTATTGGTCTTGAAGTAGCTGGACAAATGTATTACTATTTCTAAAAAACAGAACCGAACAACATCAAACAATCCTCATCCACCATCCCACACAGAGCCCACTTGATTCTCTGTGCCATGAAACTCATATTTTCATAGACATGTTTAATAGAAACAATTTATTGCCATAATAGAAATCAAAAAACTTTATTCCAGCTTCTCTAAATGTAGCTCTATGGTCAATTACTTCACATCAATACCAAGATCAAATAGGCATAATACTAACAAGCAGTTTGCTTAATAATAGTCACCACACTAATTAACCCATCCAGAACATTCTTAATCAGACGCTATTTGTAATGTACAGTTAAGAGAAGCTTGGCAATAAACCGTACCATGCTAAAAAGAAAATAATACCTTACTGACGGGAGGAAACTGGCTTTTCCATGAAACCGGACAGAATGTCTGTTCTGGAGTCAACGCAATGACGTGACTATGCAAACAGGTCCGTGTGTGAACACTTCCTTCCTCCTCCTCCACTCCAACTCTGACGGGGGCTCTGAGGAGGAGAGAAAGCTCCTGAGGCTAGGATGGAGAGAAGGAGCCCGAAGAAAGCCAGTGAGCTGCCTTTGGAGCATCTGCCAAGTTTACTATTTAACAACCCCCCATTTTTCTTCAAGAAAAATGCTACTTCCCACAGAGCATCTTTGAGCCTGTTTTAACTTTCAGAAATATTCTGATTACTGTAATCACTTCCAATCTGTTATTAGCCATGGGACCCCACTCCCAACTTTTTTCCAGCCAATAGTCAGTCCGGGAAACACGAGTTGTCTGTCCACTGCACACTCTCCTTCCAAGGCCTGCCCTCCTCTCGCCTCGGTCCACTAAGGGCTCCAGAGCGAACGCACAAACCCTGGTATTGTGCTGGACAATCCTTAAAGACACAGCTGGAATACGTACTTTCTACACCGAGGTTTGACAGCTCCCCCAACCCCCACCTCTAAACGGACACACCCAGAACGGAACCTAGAGGTGGGGCCGGAGGCCTTACTCAGAGTCCTCGGGACAAGACTGGATTTGAGAGAAGTAGTAAAGGCTGTTAAGACGGATGGCAAACACTGGAATGTTCTGAGCACCTTAGTTATTCCTGCAGAAGTTGAGGAGCTAGAGCCTGTTCAGCTGACTAACAGAGGTAGTCAAGAGGAAGGCACTAAGGCAAAGTAAGTCAAGGTAATTTGGGACATTAATATTGAGAGTGTCGTGGCTGAAATGTTTGTCATGGTGGTATA